ACACACATCTCTTCCTGGAGCTCACTTTAATTTAAGATAAAAGGGAGCATTTCTGTGGCTCTCCAACTAATAACAGAGTCGCACTTTCCAGGAAGGGAGGAAGAGAGGAAGGAAATTAAATGACAAATGGTCAACTAAAATCTGAAAGATTTTCCAAGGATTTAAACCTCAATGGTGAAATGAGACATATATAGATAAGGTCGTTTTTTTCCTTTTCTTTTTTTTTTCTATTTCTGTCCCTTTCATTCTTCTTTTTTATTTCCTCCACTACCATTATACCCTTGAAGGAGTAGCTTTTCAAACCACAGGCACAGTGTGCAGTTCTCCATCTCACTGTCGCTGAATTGTTCCAAGGACGTCTTCAGCCCAGTTTCTAGGGTGTGGTAGAAAAACACATAATAATGAAAATTGTATTACCTCCAGAATATGGTGAAATTCAGTATTTTCACTATTGAGTTTATCTTTCATTTACTTTGTCAGTTCCCTAACTGGGTAGATAATGTAAAGAATTATGCCCTGTTTTTACATTGTACTAAAAATGTCGAAGTGATCAAGGGACATATTTATATATTGCCATCCTAGATGAGTTAGCCAGTATCTATCCAGACTTCTTTGCCAAGGTTCTTGACACTTTTCATTTCTACTTTAATTATAGAATTTCATGATTTGAAAGAACTGTGATGAACATACATTGTGCATACTTATGGCTGAAACCAAATGGGGCATAAAGATGAAATTTACACCTATGTGGAAGACAAGACTCTTAGTTTTGAAGTATTTAATAATTTCACTAACTTTCAAGATGGATTGTAATTATTATATATGCTTATACTGTGTTTTGTTCCTTTATTTAATAGTTTTGGATCCTAACAAAAATCCTTTATGATAGAATAAGTATATTTTCTATTTTCCACACAAGGCAATTATTATTTAAAGAAATACATGGGCTATCCCAATATCAAAACAGCAACTATCAGCACAAGGAGTTAAAATTAGTTCTCCTACTTAAAAATTAATGGATTTTCCACCTTACCATATTGGCTACATAAAGTACTACCAGTTACGAACATAAATGAGTACTAAGCCATGTGCTGCCACCTGTATGAATGAGTTCTAAGAGATCAAAAAGTTAGGAATAGTCAGTCTGTCATGGGATAAATTAAGTTATAGAAGGATTTTTAGAGAAACCAAATTTTTAATCAGGCCTGGAAGGAAAGTGGTGTATTTCTTTTGTTTGATGAGATAATTTATGTAGAAAAAAAAATATGAGCTATGAGAAAATACCAAGAATATACAAAAAAAAAGCTTTTACCCTTGCTGAATTACTGATTTTAGAGAGCAAGGAGGATGGGGGGAGAGAGAGAGATACCATCTGTTGCCTCCCACACTCTCTCCAACCAGGGATCGAACCCACAACCTTTTTGTGTATGGGTCAATGCTCCAACCAACTGAGCCACCCAGCCAGGGCAAGAATATGCAAAATTTTAATATATAATTATAAAAAAGCAGAGAAGCTGAGTTTAAAAATACCCATCAATGTTTATACGGCATTAATAGGATTTTTGTATCCTGGTCTTTTTGATTATTTTTATCACTGAAGAATTTAAGCAGAGGAGTTTATGAAAAAATAATGGATATTGTTTAAGTGTTAAAGATCAGACTTCCACCATTTAATTTGTATGATACTTGTATTTTCTCGCAGATGGCTTTTGTCGAATTGAGAGTTCCCTTCTATCTTTTGCTTACTGAGATGTTTGTTATTTTGTTTTCTGTCATGAGTGGATTTTAATTTTGTCAAATGCTTTAATAGCATGTGTTGAGGTGGTCATACCATTTTTTCTTACTGTTAATTTGGCAGGCTACCTTTATAGATTTTAAAATGCTAAACATGACATTGCCATCTTGGCTAAACCCTACCTGATGGTGATATACTGTTCCATAAATATATTGCCGGAATAGATAAACAGTTGACCCTTGAATAGCACGGGTTTGAACTGTGCAGGTCCACTTACATGTGGATTTTTTTCAATAAAATACAGTAGTCCTTCTGTATCCCTGGGTTTTGCAGCCATGGATTCGACCAGCCACATATCAGAAACAGTATTTTCTGTCCGTGGTTGGGAATTCTTGATGTAGAGGGCTAATCATATTCATTGTTTTACTCCATTTTATATAAGGGACTTGAACATCTTGGATTTTGGTATCTGCAGGGGTTCCTGAAACCAATCCCCCTGTAATACCTAGGGAGGATTGTATTATCATTTTGGTAATGATGGTTGTTTTATGTTCAGGAGAGAAATCACTCTATAGTTGTCTTTTCTTATAATGTCTTTCTGGTTTTAGTCTCAGGGTAAGACTAGCCTCATAAAAACAGTTGAAAGATATTCCCTTATTTATTTTGTAAAGCATGTATGTTAGGTTGGCTTATTTTTTACTTCCTGAAATGTCTGATAGAATTCACTATTGATCTAGAGTTTGTTGCCTCTGTGGGAATGGATTCAATTTCATAATTCAGTTTCTTTGGTATGTTGTATCTTTTAAGGACTTCATTCATTTAATCTAAGTAATTGAATTGCTTGGCATTAATTTGTTTTTATTACCCATTTTTTTTGTCTTTAGAATGTTTCACCTTTCCTCCTTGGTATTCATAATTTTGTCTCTTTTTTTCTTTTAAGTCTGCCTTAATGTTTATAATTTTATTGATTTTTTCTCTTGTTTTTTCAGATGCCTATTGGTTCTTTTTGCTCTTCATTTCCTTTTTCCTATTTTAGGTTTAATTTCTTCTTCCTCTTCCTCCCTCTCTTCCTCCTCCTCTTCTTCTTCTTCTTTAAGCTGGTTAATGTTGAAACTTTACATTTATTGCATTGGGGTTTTTTCCCCCTATAGAAATATTTAAAACTATAAATTTCCCTCTGTGCACAGCTCTCACTATACTCTGCACATTTTGATATATTGTATTTCAGTATCATTTAATTTAAAATATTTTTTAATTCCCTTTGTGATATTTTCCATGAATCTTAGATATTATTAAGGTGTATTTTTCATTATATAAGTATTGGAGGATTTTTCAGATTTCTTTTTACCTTTGATTTGAATATTTTTAGAGAACGTAGTCTATATTGTTTTAATCCTTTAAAATTTGTTAGGACTTGTTTTATTGCTCAGCATATGAGTTTTCATGCTGCATGTTCAGGTGTAATTAGAAAGCACGTGTTGTGCTATTGTGTGGATTGTCTAATATAGACTGCATTATTTAATAACGTTTTACAGCGACTCCTTGGATGTTAAATATCTCTCTCTATAGAGGAAGTTACAAAGTGGTTAAGTAGTATGCCTATTTATAAATTGCCTTCCTAAACAGCTTTCATCTTCATTCATGTTACTCCTTACTAATAGGAGCCAGGTTTTTGAAGATATTGTTGATTCCAGATCTAGGACAGGAAATGTAAGCGATAAATCTGGGATATATTATGGCAGAAAGCAGGGGAGTTAAAGATTACTCTGGTCATGTCAGAAGATACAGGATCCAATTTGAAGGAACTACTGTTTGTTGAAGATGGAACTTCTATGATTGAAAAACATCAAATATGTTCAAAAGCCAGGAATCATAAGGATACAGACTAACCCAAACCAAACTGAAAACTACCTGGCAAAAGTACATGGGAAGGGAGCTAGGGAATAAAATCATTATTCTTTGTACTGGGTAAAGAAAAGAATCATTTTTTTTATTATTATTTTTTCTTTTTTACTTTTTTAGTGATGTATTTATCTTATTCTTCCTGTACAAACCCTATTTCGAAGTAACCAAATACTTAATGAGAAGAATTTTTTATAGATGCCTACTAATAAATGAAAATGTGTAGCAGAACTAGGCTACCAAAGTTTGCAACCTTTATTAATTTGAAATACTGTCTCTGGAAAAATAGTTATCATTGGCTATTATTATCCCCAGGTAAAAACATGGATAGGGAGTATCATAATAAACTGATCCAGCTGATGACACCTGACCCCACTGCTTATCATTGCAGAGAGACAGCCAGTTGTTACATGCCAGCCGATAATAATGCGATGGGAAGTACACAGCTTTTCAAAATTTGAACTTGTTTAAGGCCCATGGTCTAACTGCTAGAGTATATGACATACAGGAGGCGCAAGAACTTGTTAAAGTACATCTCAGGGATGCTATTAGCCAAATCTAGAATTCTAGGAATTCTACACTATAAATGATCCAGTTTCTTCAATAAGTAATGGTCAAAAAGTAAAAAGGGTGGGAAACCATTAGAGATTAAGAGAGAAAGGTAGGAAAGATACAAATGTAATGCGTAGACCTTGTTTGGAATATGGATCCTAATATGAGTGAGCTAACAATAAGAAGACATTGGAATAATCATAGAAATTTGAACCATGACTGGCTTTTAGATATTAAGGAATTATTGTTTTATATGTGATATTAGCATTGCGCTCATGTTAAAAATAGTTCTTATCTCTTAGAAACCAAGTGAAATATACTTAACCAGTGAAATGATATAATCTGTACCTCCTTTTAAATAATCCTGTAAGGGGGTGAAGGGTGATCTGGTGACAAATATTTATCTTGGATGATGAATGCACGAGGTTTATTACAGTATTTATTCTACATGTGTTTGAAAATTTTCATCATTAATTTTTTTAATTACAAGATAAATTTAGGTTTAATAAATCGGGGGAAAGAATTTCATAATAGTCAAAATAAGTGAGGAGCTTTCAGAATTTTCACCCTAAACATTTGAATCTTGTACATATTTACCTATATATCTGTAGAAGTGTTTGAATCTTTTCAGCCTAATCACTGCACTTGATTTTGGCCCAACCAACATGCCCTGACCTTGAAGGATCTTAAGGATCACATCATAAGCCACTCTCATGTTCATCAACACCCTAGAGAAATCTTTGAGGTAAATCTAATGCTGTGTATTTTTTCATATCTATCTCTCATCAGTGTTCTAATATTTATTTTTCAGGTACAGCAGGTACAGACTGTGCAGCAGGTACAACATGTCTATCCAGCTCAGGTGCAGTATGTGGAAGGAAGTGACACTGTCTATACCAATGGAGCAATGTAAGTTTGTGTGTAGGAATCTTTTTAATTCTGTGGCATGGGGCTGGAGATCTTCTACTGGAGCAATTTCCAATAGAAGATGTATCCAATAAGGCTACAAATTTTACATTTATACCACATAGTGCTGGAGATTTGCACACTGTAGAATGGGGTTATTATACACACACACACACACACACACACACACACACTATATATATAGTTGTGAATAATTGGACTGTGTATATATGAATATATACACACAAGATCCAAATATAATGAAATACATGTAGAAATTCTTGAATAACTTAGGAAGCACTTCAGTTGTCTTTTGCATAGTTCAAAAGGAAATGTTTCCAGGAATTTTTTTAATGCTTTTTTTTTCCAAAAGAGGAGAACATACATTTGAAATGTAATTATCTAATTTCTATAACACTGGACTACTAGGACTAACTTTTTTAAAATTACTGTTCTGTGAATATAAACTATTTGAAATTCAAGTACAGAAAAATCTGAAATAAAAAAGCATTGTCGCCCTGACCATTGTGGCTCAGTTGGTTGAGCATCCTTCTGCAGAGCGAAGGATTGCAGGTTCGATTCCTGGTTAGGGCACATACCTGGGTTGAGGGTTCAGTCCCCAGTCTGAGCATATACAAGAGGCAACCAGTTGATGTTTCTCTCCCACTCTTTCTCCTTCCCTACCTTGTCTCTAAAAACAAATAAATAAAATTTTGTTTTTTAAAGGCATTGTCTTGTGGCCATGAGAGAAGTGCACTGTGTCAGTGTCATTTGTTCAGGAGCCAACTGCAGCCCTTCTGTGTGGGCACTGCTCCCTGAGATCTTTTGCCATTATACATACAGACCTTCCTGTCTGGTCCTTAGAAAAACCAGCCTTCTAAAACACTGTTGAATATTGAGGACTACATTGTTAATGTGGATGTTTGACTTGTATTTAAAATATCAAAGATTATTAAATAAAGATAATGTGTGCTCTATAAAAAGAAAACCTTTTTTCACCATTCCTCTTGCTGTCCAGGGTATGCATACATTATATAATAATATCACACACAGAGAGAGACAGAAACAGAGAGAGATTTTCCTAGAAACATCTAGCTCCCTTTTGCTTTCATTTCACTGGCCATATTTGTGTAACCTAGGAATCGTTAGCAGCCTGGGACTCTGGAGATGAGAATTTGTAGCTTTCATGTCTGTGTTCTAGGAGGCAGCAAGGGAAAAGGGCCGCTGGAGTAGATATTTAGAGAGTTAACTACAGTATCTATCACAGTCATTTATCATTGGTCCAAGGTAGTGGGGAGAGATTACTATTGTGTGCCTTAGTGAAAGTTACAGTATCTTCTTCACTTTTTTTATCCATGAAACAGATATGGTTAGTTTATAAAAACTGCTTTGTGTAATATCTGAAAAATAGTGAACACTCAAACATTTGTTATTGCTGTAAAATTATGTACTATAGTTAAGGTATTTTTTATATTTTTCTCTCATTGATATTCTAAATTCTGCATATTGCCTTGTGCAATTTTAAACTACTCTACCACTGACTTAAGGGTTTTCCACATAATAGGTAAATGTGTGATCAGTGAGTCAATTCATTCACAAAACCTTGGAAAAACAACATCTCTGAAGTTGACTCTTTAAAATTATATGGCCTATTTAAGTGCAGAAATGATTCAAAGTAAATATCTCATGCTAACAGGTGTTTTCTCTGGCCCATTAGCTCAATTGGTGAGATCATGAGTAATGAGGTCTAGGTCATGAGTTCATTTTCCATAAAGTCCAATTAGCTTTGATTCAGCCCATATGGGCCCAGGTTGTATCTCAACCCCAGCCAGTCATGTCATAGATGTGAACTCTTGGTCAAGGAAAGAAGATACATCTTTAAAAACCTTTTCATTACTATAAGTATAATTTTTACTGGACTAAAGATTCTGCAGCATCATTTTCAGATTTACTAAAGAAACATTGTGTTGCCATGAGTTATATTCAAAATTTTAGTAGCTAGGGGACACTATGAATGTTTTTTGTCATATATAACAAAATTATTTTTAGCATTAGCCATTCCAATTTTTTTTTCATTTTGTAGTGCTGACTGACATTTTAGTATATACAGTTTTTGTCTCTGATGTTCACTGTAGCAGAAGCTAGGCATACCCAGCTTTATTATTAACTCTCAAGCACCCTATATGTGGGCCTCTAGCCTGTGCATGTTTCATCAGTACTGGTTCACTGATGCTCCTGTCACCAGCATCTCCATCCCGAGTGGCCATATTGCACAGGTCTTACTTAAGAGGTGATGATAGCCCTCACAGAGATGTGTCATCACTTAATGGAAATGTGTAATCATTTCAGTTTGGAGATACTAACATGTTTACTTGGTTCTCACTATGAATATGGACATTTACTGCCAGCATGACAGGCGTAACACCATGAGTTAGTGAGTGAGCACACCTTTAAACTGAACAATTGAGACTGCTTTGCAGTGCTCGGAGTTAGAGTAGAATAACTCTTTACTCAGGGGAGAAGGTAACTTAATTCCCTTTTGCTCCTGTTTATTTTATCATTGTGGCCGTAGTCACCCAGGCTTCACCATCTTTATATTTTCTTACAGTAGTTTTCCCAAGAGGATTTTTTCAAAGAATGAATTAGTCTTTTTCCTTTCTACAGATTCTGCAATTTATGATGTGTAGTCATTTAGAATAGTGTAATTAAACCTGCTGAGAAACATTTCATATCATGTAGAGAGAGTCCAATTCAATTGAAATTTCTAGCTGTAGCTAAGAAATGATTATTTTCTTTCCCCCACTCCTTTGTGACTCATACTTCCTCACTCACTCTTCTGACATGTTAGTCAAAGTAGAAATAAAGATACCATAGTATTTCATGGCCAAAGAAATGTTTTTCAAAAACTTTTTTTTAAATTTTAAACAATTTTCTCCTATCAACCACTGTTTGAAGCTTATCCACTGTTTAGAGCTGATCTGTTTTAAAATGCTCAAATGTTCATGGTATGGGTATCTGTCACTATAAGATTTGACCCATAGAAAGCCATCTCATGTCTTCCTATATATTGATTTCTCAGCAACTCCCATATTGCATTTATCAAACTGTGTTTCACAAAATGTTAGTCCATTTTATGGTTACACAAGCAGGGAAATACTGCATGAAGACCTTTCTTTCTGCAGTAAATTCCCGCTGCAAAGTGCTCTAAATTCCTGTTACTAGTCTTTGAAAGGCTCTGAGTTGTCCTGTAGAAAAGAAATGTAGTGTTTTAAAAACTGAATCATACAGCACTTTAGTTGAGTAATATCTAATAAGAGCACATGACATACTTTGGGTGGTGTTATATTATTAATATATTGACATTGAATGGATTTATTCAAAATCCCTAAGCATGTGTACTGTACTCCCATTTTTTAAATAGTTATTGCTTGAAAATCATGTGGTTAGTACATTTTTGAAGCCATTATATTTTTCCTATACACTTTAAAAATCATTAATAAGGAACCTAAAAGAGATATTCTTCAAGTCCCTTTTTTTGTCTTTTAGTAAAATAGTTAGTTTCCAGATTTGAGGGTAACATTTTTCATTCTTTTTATTAAACTGTGTTCTGCCTGAAGAAATGGTTATATGGAATATCTGTAATTGATATGGAGAGGATGCTTTCTTTATTTGTTCTTCTACTGATATACACATTCACACTGGTGTAGGTACAGGGGTCTCTAAGCTTTTGGCGTCTCTAGACCACAGTGGAAGAAGAAGAGTTGTCTTGGGCCACACATTAAATACATAAACATTAATGAAAACTGATGAGCAAAAAAAAAAAGGTTTTAAGTTAATTTACAGTTTTGCATTGGTCCACGTTCATAGTCATCCTGGACCACATGCTGCCTGTGGGCCACAGGTTGAACACCCCTTGTAGGATCTGGTTTGTCTGTGGAATTGAGGACATATATGGCTTGTTACTTAGGAAGTTGCCAGAGAGAGAACTGCCCTTTTGTAGAAAAGAATGTGAAGATCTGTCTACAATTAGAAGGGGCCTACTTCCTGAGTCCCATAACAGTTTGACTACTCTCCCAAAATGGAAGGCTTTCAAATGTCAGAGTTAGGAAAGTCATGGAGATCATTTATCTCAATTTTGCCACTTCACAGATGAGTAAACTGAGGCTTAGAGAGGTAAATAAATTTTCCTGGCTAGTTAGTGTATAGAGTTCCTATATTCTGACCCTCGATCATTGTTCTTTTCAGTGATCTGCAGGTGATTGTCTTTTGGTCTTGAATTATTTGGGCTGTTAGTGAAGAAGGGTTGACCAGTTTTAAAAAATAGTAAATTTTATCCATTACTATTGTATTATTATATATTGTATCATAAATCATAATTGAACTTGTGACTTTTTAAGACTAAGCTTTTTGTTATTCATATAAGTAACAAATCCATCTTATACTTTTATAGTTAAATTTATTTTATGAATATAGAGTGTTCTTTCTGTATTCATAAAATACATGGAAAAGTATGTATATGCTAGGTTTTAACATCAAATGTTTTAGTCAAATGTCTTTTAAGAGAAAAGTCTATTCTTTGCATGGTGAATATACATTTTTATTATTTTCCATTAGCAAATTAAGATGCACATGAAGGGTGATTTGTTCTTTAATATTTTCATATCCTGTCCTATGTACAGAATAGTTGGTTCCACATGATAACACTTGGAAGACTTCAGATGCTCATTTTTTTCCTCTTTTCCTCCTCCCTCCTTTTTCTTAAGAAAGGAGGAAATGAAAGAAATCCACATATGCTTTTTTAGGTTTAGAACCAAGTTCTGTTATTAATTTTCTTACATGAACTTCAGAGACCCATGTTCAAGCATCACTTCTCCTGCTGCCTGTAATATAACCTCAGGAAAATGACATTTTTGTATCAGATTTTCTAATCTGGAAAATAGGGATTAAGAGTTAAAAGCATTACTTAATTAACCAGATCTTACATTGTCTGAAAAAGTATATTC